TCATCATTTAAATAATTGTGTGCCCTTGTTTGAACCACTTCATCTCTATTATAGCTCAAATCCCTCTCTTCTTTCTTCCCGTCAATTCATAGCATTTGAGAAACCATTGAATTTTCCAAATATACATCTCCACCATCTCTATGAAGTAGGTGTTCTTCATGCCGCATCAATTCAATATACAAACTTATGACCTGCAAGTTTTTAATTTGTCATTAAAAGATTGGCAGATAGTTTGTATGGACACTATGTAATGCAGAAGCAGTGTTAAACATGCTTACCGAGCCATTGACCTGCTCATTCGACTTAAAAAGGCAATCTAGGTCATCCCTGCATCCCCAAGCATCATTGATTCTGACGAGTTTATGATCTATACTTTTTCCTTTCATGTATTCAATTACCTCATCATCTTGTTTCGTAGACACATAATCTGCAGATGTATCATTTTATATTATTATTAGTAATAAGTAATTAATTATTTAAATTAAAGAAGTAAGTTTCAATTAATGGTGGCTTACCTTGAGTCATGATTTGTGCATTGTTTGATTTCTTTGGCTTATTATACCGAGGCAACGCCGTCACACCATCGTCAGCACGCATCATATGTTGTGCCTTTTGTAGTACTGGCGTTTGTACAGCATCGTCGTTGACCTGTACTTCTCTCGCTTCCTCCCTAATAATGATCTGCAGATGCAATATATAATATCAGTTTAAGATTCCATATTTGTACATTTTGTACGCAATGGCCCACTCGGACAAAATATGAGAGGAGATTTGTGTTGCTTAAGAGTTCGTTGTGTACGTCATCCTCATGAGCACGCTTCCGCTTCTTGTCTTCGCATCTTTCTTGATCGACATCTACATCAATATAGATCCACTCTAGTACATTAGCATCTAAATAAATGCCTTATTTCATATTGAAAAGTAGCATGATGATGTTGTGCTAATTTGGCTCATCAGAAGTAGGCAATGCATCAATACGGACCATACATTTCACTGTACACATGGGAATATATGCATCATTTTTGTGTAGCCAATCTGCGAGTTGTACGGACTGATCAGTGAGGTTCATCATAAACGAGGAAATGGGTGAAATTATTATTAAAGGCTCGGATATTTCTGACCTTCGGGTGAGGATGGCCGAACTATTATTTCGGCGTTGTTGTTGTCCAACGTTTCTTGGCTAGAGGCTACAATTCTTGACTCACTCTCTATATACTTTTTAATCTCTACAGATGAACAAAGTATTATTTAATAATAAATAATAATTTGGGAGACCAAATCTATGAGGTTGCAATGATGACTAATCATACATAGCTTAAATAAATTTACTAAAAGTACTAATCGAACATAGCTTATAAATTTATTACAAGTAAAAGTATTTAGAGTAATTCACCTGAGTTATCTGGTGTCGGAAACTTTTCAGCTTTGGGCGAGGATGGCGGAACTACTATTTCGGCATTCTCTTTGTTCTCGCTTTTCTTGGCTAGAGGCTTCGATTGTTGCCTCACCTCTACTATTTCGACATTATCTTAATATGATCAAAGCAATATTAAATAATGTACTTAAATTTAAAAGATTAGCATAATTAAACATAGATTAAATTTAATAAAGGTAGGAACCAAACATAGTTTAAATTGACAAGTACAAAGATTTAGAGGAATTCACCAATCGTGCATTCAGTTGCAAATGGCAATCTAATCGGGCATTCAGTTGCATTTAAATGATAAGGCGGAGATCGATGGAAATACTAATAACATGTACAAGTCGCCGGCATGGTCGAGGTGTCCGTCTCCGTGGTGTTGCCGACCTCGATCACGTCCTTCATCACGGCGGTGGACAAAGCCTTGTCGCTGGTCGCCCGGGGGCGTCTTTGACGACAGTGGTAGATGCGCGCGTTCTTTGGCGATGAGGATGCAAAAGCCGTAGTAGCGGCGTCGCCGCGAGGTACGACCACGCCTTGCCGTTGACGACGACAACGTTGTTGACGGCACGCCGCTGCCAGGTTAGTCCTCTTGGTTGGGGTTTGTTGCTGGTTCCACTGACGAGGAGTACTGGCGGCGGTGGTCGCGACTAGGAACTAAAGGCCTGGCAATCTAATGTTTTAATATGACACCCTTTTTGCGATTCTATGAACTGAACTTCCGGTTTTCTTTTTTTTCTTTTTCGAGCACCAAACAAATGTTACTTAGGCAACATCTAACATGTTCAAAAAGTATATTGAATTAGAAAATTAGAACCCTATCAGTCTATCACGGTAATATGGAGTTTAGAAAAAATTACCTGTAGCCTACGGCCTGTTCCTATGTGGCTTGATGAATTAAATAATTAAATTAATGGATCAACTATTGGCTTTGGTCGCTTGATGCCTGTACTGTCACGGATTGGATTGCAAGGTCGAATAGAAAATTGAAGTTGTCGAGATGAGATCAAACAAACACCGCCAGCCCTATAACTGAATATTGATGAACTCAAATCACTTACCACCGGGCGGCAGGGAGTCGTCGCCTTGAGGGGATCGAGAGGGACCGCAGCAGCCGCTTCGTTTATGCGGCCACCCACCGGGATCACTACGGATTACGGCTTATGCCTTACGGGAATTGAGAACGCGGAACGGCACAACTGGCAGCGCAGACGTCTTGCAAGCGAGGCTTCGTGGGTGCGGGGCGGAGATCGGCGGGCGGACTCCGCGTGGAAAGAGCCGCGGATTTCTCGTGCGTCAATTTTTCTCGCGTCAATATTCCTTTTTCCGCGACGCATGGAGGGGGAGGAGGAATACCATACAAAATATGCTGATCGTTGGATCGTGCGTGAGTAATGAGAGAGAATATTGAAGACAGATCTGGGCGGTTGATTCGGATGTGGTTTGTTTTGTGTGTACAATTTTTGGGGTGCATTTAGGATGGTCATCTCAATATGGGACGCTTTTCTAGGTGGACCAAGTGAAGAAAATTTGGTGTATTAATAGGGTAGATGCTTGGTATGAGCATAGACGTGAGTTTGAGTCACAGACATGACTAATACTCGTCACGTACTCCTACTTTTAGTAAAATCGATCGAGACTCTTGTACGTAGACTAGTGAGATAAATTGATTGGGAGAAAGTGATGAGCCAAAATTTGGTACCAATTTTTTTTCCTTCTAATGTTGGGGCCTGTTTAGATGACGAAAATTTTTGCAAAATGTATTGTAGCATTTTTTATTGTTATTTGGTAATTAGTGTCCAATCATAATCTAATTAGGTTTAAATGATTCGTCTCATGAATTTCATCTAAACTGTGTAATTAGTTTTATTTTTTATTTATATTTAATGCTTCATGCGTCAAAGATTCGATGTAACGAGTAATCTGGAAAATTTGGTAAAATTTTTTGGAACTGGACCTTTTTATTACGCCAACAAAATTGTCCGTGGGTCGCTGGAGGAGGAACTACTCCGTATAGGAAGGACCAGAAACCCATGGCCCTCTGCTGTTGCAGTGTTGCTGCTGCCGACGACACGACAGGCACTGCGTCTCCAGTGGCAGTAGCCCTCTCCACTCAACACCACCGTACGGGGGCTCCTTTTCCTTTCCGTCGCCGCACAGGCGCACATGCCCGTCGTGGGCTACTTCCCCACTTCACGTGACGGACATTATATAGCAGCAGGGCGCCCAGGGCAGGACCACGAGTCACTCCACCAACCCTGATGTGACCGCCAATACCGTCGTTTCGTTAGGCCATGACCATCCACAGTGTCTACAGCATGAAGCACCATCGGTCTGTTCGGTTGGGCTGAATTGGCTTATAAATTCGGCTGAATTGGCTGCTAACTAGCTTGGTTTGGTACGAAAGAAAAATACTGTTTAAGTCGTAGATTATAAGCGAACAAATAAAAAAAAAATATGATGTTTCTTCAAGTAGAATCTTCTGTAATCCTAAGGTGTTTGGACGGGATTTTATGATTTTGAGTTTTCTTTAATCTGAATTCTTAGAATCCTTATGGATCCAAACGGTACCTAAATTAAGATAGGCCCTGCAGCAAAATCGCAAAGTTCTAAACTAAGTGAAGGAAGTGTAAAACGATTCTGATCTGATTCTCAGCGCTGATATCCCGTTTGGAACTGTTTTCCCAATTCTCTCAATAAACCAAAACAGGTTCTCTCAACTAAACGGGGCCTAGATTAAGCTTCTTTTTATTTTATGTAAGTTTATTTAACTATGCTTTTAAATTTAGATAAATGGGTGATGACGAGGCAAGAGACGCCCTCACTGTCAATTTCTCTGTCTGAGACGACGTTGCAAAATGAGCAGAATTGTCCGACTTGCTTGGGCCTATTAGAGCCCAGCAACGGACGATTCATGAGACGCGTCGGATCCAAAGGAACGATGGATAAGCAAAGCACGTCCCTGACTAGTCCGCGTGGGTCCCTCTTCTTTCTCCGGCGCGCCTCTCTCTCTCTCTCCTGCCTTTCTTTCCTTGCTGCGGCCGTGCGGCGACGACTGGGCGAGCGCCGCCACCTTCGCCAGGTCGGCGCCGGCGACGAGCACCCGCCAGGTATGCCCGCCCCCCCTCTCTCCCCCTTCCTCCTGTGCGAAGCCGAGCACCCCAAACCCTAATGCTTTATACTGCTGGTTCCGCCCCTGGTTTTAGGGGACAGATTCCTTGTTCGTTATGGTATTCGTGTGCGGTGTCATGCCGCCCTACCAATCCAATCCCCGCGCGGTTTGGTTACGTCGTTCGGCGCGCACGGTCGATGAATCACCTCGCCGTAGAAATTGCCCAACTAAACCCTAAACCTCGGGTTCTTCGGCGGTAAACCCCCCCCAGAACCCAATAGGCTGCCGCATCGAATGCAATCTCATATCTTTGCTCCCTTCGATATCCGTTGCTTCGCAAGTTTTGCCCCCGGGGAACTTATATCTTTGTTCTCCGTTGGTTCGCACGTTTTGCCCCCGGGGAACTTTTGGACCTTTTTGACACATCCAAGCGTGCTGATCTATTGCTATCTATCATTTGCAGGAAAAATGGCCGAGCACCTCTTCAAAGATAAATTCAAGGTGATCAGGCTCGATCCTGATGGCAAGAAGTTCGACAAAGGTAATTTATCTGACTTTTCCACAGCAAAATTGAATCCACTACTGCAACAGATAACAGGATGTGTTTTCCTCTTCTGAAACTGCGTAGCTGCCCTGTAAATTGTTTGCTAGCAATTGGATACTTTGCTCTGCATTATGCAGTTCTTTGAGTGCTCGAAGCACGATTATTCAGATTTCTGCTTTATCTTGCTGCAAATATCAGATGATCTAATGTTGTTTTTCTTTTAATAATGCCCATCGACAGTCACTCGAATTGAAGCTTATAGCGAGAACGAAATGTACATGCAGCTGGATGTTGCTACTGAGGTCTATCCAATGCTTGTTGGTGACACATTCAACATGGTTTTAGCTCTCACTCTGAACCTGGATGGATCAACAGACACTGGCTACTACACACAGGTGACACACCTAATTGGTCTCATACTCTCTCCGTCCCTCGTTTTTTTACATGTTGTATGGTTTTGTCCTATGTCAAATATTTCTATCTTTGACCATCAATATTTAAAAAAAAAATGTATATAAGATATGTATATGTTTTTAGATTCACTTGTATGAGAAATACTTTAACAGTATATAGTTCACATGTTGTGAAACTACATGGATTTTTTTAAATTGATGATCAAAGTTAGGAATGTTTGACTTAGGACAAACCTAATACGACATTTAAAAAAAACGGAGGGAGTAGCTTGATCTTGACATTATAAAACTTTTGTGATGGGAATACAGATCCGAATGTGTTTGAGGTGCCATGATATTTTTCATTTTTCTCTTGGACTTGTCTTCCACTAGGCATAGTTTTATTGGGTAAACAACATGATGCCATTCCTTTCATGCAGGCTGGAAGAAAAACGCTTGCTGACGATTATCAATACATCATGCATGGAAAGCTTTACAAGATCTCAGAAGACAGTACCAAAGACAGTAATGGCGATTCATCTACTAAAGTGTATGCC